AAGGTACTCCTTACTTCTGCTGAGGTCACGCTGAGATGCTCTTCATCTGGTGGTGAGGTGAGTCTGGTGCTGGGTGGTCTGTTCGGGTCTTCAAAGCGTGCATAGAACTTGTTGAGGGCATCAGGCAGAGATGGGTCTTTGGGGCATTGTTCACTCCTGCCTTTATATTCTGTTCTACACTTAATGCCCCTCCACATGCTCTGAGGGTCTTGTGAGATGAATTGACCCTCGATCCTCTGTGCATATGTGACCTTGGCCCTCTTAATACCAACAACCAGCTCTTTCCTTCTCCTTCTCAGCTCCTGTGAGTTTCCAGACCTGAAGGCAGTGTTCCTGGATTCTAGCACGGTGTGAACCTCTGCATTTAGCCAAGGTTTTCTGTTCGGGTAACTCTTAACATATCTGATGGTGGAGACGTCATCAGCACATTTACTAATGTACCCCAGAACTGAGGATATGTATTGCTCCAGGTTTAGCACTCCCCCATTTTCGCAGCTTCTCTGAAGACCTGCCAGTCTGTTCGTTCAAAACAATCCTTCGGTATGGGACCACTGTTCTGCATCCAAGATTTAACTTTCTTTTGTACTGGTCTGGAGCATCTCAGCAGGGGAGGTAAGCAGAAGCCAGGAAGATTGAGATGTGATCAGAGAATCCTAGGTGGGGGCGGGGTTCGGCTTTGTATGCATCTTTTACGTTCGTGTAAACACAGTCCAGCGTGTTGTTTCCACGTGTTGGTAAAATCTAAAGTGTTAGCACCACACAAGCTGAAATTCAGACAACACAACTGAACTGCTGCTGATTTCAGACAAACAGAAAGTTCTCATGGTATTTGCTTTACGCCTGATTTCTGCTACATTTTGATCGTATTAAGTAAAAGTCTGTGTTAGTGACGACCACGACCGAAAGGAAGAAATGAACTGAGCCGACAGAGGTTCTCTGTCCGTGGTGCTGAAACGACTGGGCTCTTCTTTTTACTTCTTCTTTAGAGCCATCTGCTAAATCTGACTAAAAATACTCCAAAAGATTAATTCACATTACATTTCTGATACTTTGAAGTAGATGTGGGAGTTTTAAGTTGTTTGTCTGAAGCAGCAATCATTATTTCATCTAAAAAGCTCATCAGTCTTTCTTTATTGCAGCTCCTGCAGCTAAAAGCACTCCACAAGCCAGGCAGGCGTTAAGCTGTGAGGGTTTCTTCTTCTGTGAATCGTGTGAAATGCTGCAGACAAATATCCAGAACAAAGTTTCTGATGAACTTTATTTTTCTGTGATTTAATTTGTTTCAGTCAGAGCTCAAGTGCCAACATGAATGTGATGAAACGAGATTTGATTTGACAAACATTTTTAATTCTGCTGCTCAGGCTGGGCGACAAATGGAATAAAATAGAATAGAGATTTTTTTTTGTCATTGCATCTGAGAACAACAAAACATTTTTTCTTCCCAGAGCAAAAGTAAACAACAACAACAATAACAACAACAACAACAACTTGAAGGATGAACTCAGCTTCAGTTCTGTGAGCTTCATCGATCGTTCGTTACTTCGGGCGTTGCGTTGCTATTTTTCCCACATCTGGTGTTTGATCCCTCCATCGCTGTTCTTTGAATTTCAGCAGAAAGCAGTGGCCTGAAGCACTGTTGGCTTCTGGGTCGTGTAGTTCTTTAGACTTGCGTTACAGTGTAGGCTTATTGAAAGAAAACTACAAAATGGCGGCACCTGTCCAAAGTTTTTTTTTGTCCTTTTGTGTGGTTCCCGCTTCTGTCTACTCCCGTTAACGTTTTATCCCGTACCGTCCCAATCACACGAGTAATAGTAGACAGTCGAGTGTCGTGTACAATCTTACAGTGAAAACCCGTGAAAGAGCGAGTCCACGGAAGTCGAACCGCGAAGTATCGAGGGACTACGTGTATAGATGTATAAATATAAAGTGTATGAAAGGTAATTGTTACAGGTTTTAACAACTCTAAATGTGCAGTATTCCACTAGTTGTCTTTATTGCACTTATTCAGTTCTTATTACAGTTTTTGTTGCATTCGTCTGACGGATAAAACTATTTTTAACTCTTTGTTCTTGTCTTGATTGAGCTGAACCTTTTCCCTGATGATAGCAGTTCAAGCATGTCCAGGGTGACACGTGTCCTTCAACATGTTGTGGGCGTTTCCTCTGCAGCAGGAACTGTGTAGATCAGGGATCTGCAACCTTTACGATCAAAAGAGCCATTTCTGCCCCTTTGGTCACTAAACTGTGTCTGGAGCCACAACAACCTGGTTCAACTGTGATCATCAACTGGCGGCCCGTGGACCACTTTAAGTTTGTCGGAGGGCCTTTTCTGGCCAGTAGGGGTGACTTTGTACATTTTAAGACAAAAGAAAAGGCTGGATTGTTGTAAAGAAAGAAAAGAAAAAGATAGATTTGAACAATTTTGTAAAATTTTAAGCAATGAACTACGCAGGCCTATAATTTTAATCTTTATTGTGGAAAAATCCTACTTTGAAGAGATAAAGCAGAAAGTGAATATGGTTTACTCTTGGTATTATTCTACTATTCACACATGTGCAAAAAAGAAATGAAAAAGACAGGAAGACTGTTAAAACGATCGTTTTTTATTTTAGTACAACAACCAATAAAATTCAGTGTTATGTTAGTTTTGGTCAAAGCTTGAAAGAGCCGCTGCAGAGGAACCAAAGAGCCACTTGTGGCTCCAGAGCCGCAGGTTGCAGACCCCTGGTTGGATGATGGTGTTGCTGTGGTGAGCAGGAGTGCAGTCATGTGTAGAGGGCATAGAGCAGGGGGCTCAGCACACAGCCCTGGGGGGCTCCTGAATATTCACTTATTTGACTAAATGACATAAATAAAACTCTGATGGTTTGCTTCCTTGGGGCTCTGTTTGCCTTCTTGCGCCTCACTTCACTAATTACTGCCCGTTTCCTCCTAACAAACATTAAGTTTCAAATGTTGACAGAAATGTGGTTGTTAGGACTTTAA